ATTTAAAACTAATGATCGTAATTAACAGGTGAATAGAGAGAGAGATAGAGAGAGAGAGAGAGAGAGAGAGAGAGAGAGAGAGAGAGAACTTTCCAACTACTGGTTGATCGCACAGTGAACATCATCCCAACCAACGAGAGATGAGCGTTTGTCAGCATCATCATCATCACCATCATCGTCATCGTCTCTGTGCTTATAGATAGGTTATACACACGCAGCATAACTGTGAACCCCACGTACTGGAGCGTGTACGTGCGTGCATGCGTGCGTGCATTCTATAGGAGGCTGGCTGGATCACTGTGAAACTCCTACGCTGAAGCGTGCGTGCGTGTGTGCGTGCGTGCGTGCTATAGAAGAAAGCTAGCATAACTGTGAAACTCTCACGCCTGAACGTGCGTGCGTGTGTGCGTGCGTGCGTGCTATAGAAGAAAGCTAGCATAACTGTGAATTAAACTCACACGCTGAAGCGTGTGCGTGCGACTGCGTGCGTGCGTGCATTCTGTAAAAGGAGGCTAGCATAACTGTGAAACCAAGGTGAAACGCACACGCCGGAGCGCGTGTGCGTGCGTGCGTGCGTGCGTGCGTGCGTGCGTGCTATGCTATAGAAGCACTAGCCGGTCGTGCTAACTAGACTATATAGTGTCCACCATGGATGAGGCGGCAGGCTGCAACAGCCGACACCATACTCTGTAAGCTCGGTTACCACCACGCCGCGGCGACAGAAAAAATAAATAGTCGCCGGACGTGTTTCAGTGTTGTACAGTGCTATCCAGTGTTATCCAGTGTTGTACAGTGTTGTACAGTGTTGTACAGTGTTATCCAGTGCTGTACAGTGTTATCCAGTGTTGTACAGTGCTGTGCAGTGTTGTACAGTGTTGTACAGTGCTATCCAGTGTTATCCAGTGTTGTACAGTGTTGTACAGTGTTAACCTGTGTTGTACAGTGTTATCCAGTGTTGTACAGTGTTAACCAGTGTTGTACAGTGTTATCCAGTGTTGTACAGTGCTGTGCAGTGTTGTACAGTGTTGTACAGTGTTGTAAGTCTTATCCGGGCTGTGTGAGCGAGCACGAGCGAGACCTTAATGCAATATGTTATTAAGCTATGTTATTAACCTATTTTAATGAGCTATGATAATGAGCTATATTGCTGCAATATGTTAATGAGCTATGCTAATGCGTTATGTTGATGAGTTATGATAATTAGCTATAAATGAGATATGTTAATGAGCTATGTTAATTTCCCAATAGTGCCTTACTCCATCATCATCAAACGCAATCTTTAACGAGAGAGTTACTTAACGAGAGAGAGAATAATTAAGACCGCGTGTGATTATATATATATATAATATAGAGCTCTGATCTTCCTGTAGTCTTCTGTAGCTTCCTCTCTGATAGTCACTGATTTTCTTCCTCTTGTGTTACAGACCTGACTGCCATGCAGGAATTGATGGGGGAGGGAGGAGGCGAGGCAGGAACCTGCCCCTCCTGTCGCATGCCATTTGACAAGGGCAAGAAGAGGAAGAAACTGATAGACGCGTGCGGACACGAACGCTGCTTCTCCTGCATGTTCAAATCTGACGAGTGTCCGACGTGCGAGACAGAGAGGAGTAAGTATGACCTTCTCCCTCCTCCCTCCCCCTCGTCCTCCTCCTCCTCCTCCTTCCTCCTCCCACTGATAGACGCGTGCGGACACGAGCGCTGCTTCTCCTGCATGTTCAAATCTGACGAGTGTCCGACGTGCGAGACAGAGAGGAGTAAGTACGACCTTCTCCATCCTCTTGTCCCTCCTTTTCATCCTCCATTTTATCCTTTCTTCCCTCTCCCTGATAAGATGCATGCGGACTCGTACGCTACTCTTCCTGCATGGATGAGTAAGTACGACCCTCTGCTGCTTCCTCTTCCTCTCCCTCCTCAGATTCCATTCTCCTCTTCTCCTCCTTCCCCTCCTTCTTCCCCTCCTTCCCCTCCCCCTTCCCCTCCTCCTTCCCCTCCTCCTTCCCCTCCTCCTTCTCCTCATCCTTCCTTTCCTTCTTCCCCTCCTTCCCATACTCATTCCCTTCATCATTTCCCTCCTCCTTCCCCTCCTCCTCCTCCTTCTTCCCCTCCTCCTTCCCCTCCTTCCCCTCCTCCTTCCCCTCCTCCTTCCCCTCCTCCTTTCCCTCATCCTTCCCCTCCTCCTTCCCCTCCTCCTTCCCCTCCTCCTTCCCCTCATCCTTTCCCTCCTCCTTCCCCTCCCTCATATTCCCCATTCCTTCTTCTCATTATGCTCCCCTTACCTCCTCTCCTATTCATCATCATCCTCCTCCACCGTATCCTCCTGCTCCCCTTCCGCATACTCCTCCTCATTCTCCTTCCCCTTCTTCACCCTCCTCCCCCTCCCCTGATAAAACTTTGCCGGAAGGCTTACATTCTTTCATCTTTTTTCGGGGGTCGACATTACCTTCTTTTTCACACGCCTTCTTAATTATCTTTATTTATGGGAGATTTACTTCTTTCACCTTGTTTATGGCATTAGCTTTACCTTCTCT